AGCCGCGCTCAAAATTCAAATCGTTTGGCCTGCCCGCGAAACGACAATAGGAAGGATTTATTTAAAGTAAGAACAACAGTAGTTTCAATGATAGTATTATAATAATAATAATAATAATAATAATAATAATAATAGTAGCGAGGGGAAATCTCATAACGCAGCAGCAGCCAAAACCGCTGAATTACCCCGAACTAAATCAGAGGTCCATATCTGCCACAAGCCCGACGCATAGTCCCCCTTCACTTCTTATTTTCTTCTCCCTTTTGTTGAATCGTTGCACCTGACCCATAACCCGCCATGAAGGGGCTTGGCGCGCAGTAGAAAAGACCGCCCTGGTCCTTTCACTTTGTATCCCAGGGCGATCCCGGTGGCTACCACGGCCACAGGCCGGTAGTGCTCTGCTGTACAGCAGGGCGCCAAGCCTGCGTGGACCAATTGAAAGCCCTGTGGCGCACCTTTTGCCAAGGCAGGCACCAACAGTGCCGGTCCACGTCAAGGTACAGCTCGGGTACTAGGGATCGTAGTCTGAGAACACACTTACAGACTGCGGACACCAAGCAGGGACTTGGTACACAGAGGAGGGCCGGGACACCGCGCTCTCCGACAACGCGTAACTCTGAACACTCACACATACACACACATACTTCACACTAACTACAGCTATGGCAGCTATGGCTGCCTCTACCCTATCGCTATACTAAGCTCCTTCTCTGTCGCCCACTGCGTCCTCCGGGCTCACTGCAGACCTCCTTGCACAAGTCGCTGTGGCAGCGCTTCCGCATGGCTCATGCAGGAATCAATGAATGGTTGGGCGCTGCCTCTTGATTTATACTTCGGAAACTCGTTGGTCTGCCCTTTGCCATCGGCCCATGGTGCTCACAGTCCCCCGTGGTACTTGCTGGACCGGACTGGGACTGACTGGACCTTACCGCTGACTGACTGTGGACTCACTGCTATCCTACCGTCGTCGTACTGCAATTGCACTGCAGTTTAGTCCACCACTGGCCTCACCACTTGCCCACTTGCCCACTTGCCTACCTTCTAGAAGGACTACAGCTAGACTTCTGGAACTCGCTAAGACTTCTACCCTATAGATCTACAGATCGAACCCTTGCTACCTATGGACCTATAAGACCGGAAAACAAGATACGACGAGTGTAAGGGGGTGAACTCCTAGTTCGTTGCACCTGATTTTATTGTGAATCTAGCACATTAGAATGTGTGTGTGTGTGTGTGTGTGTGTGTGTGTGTGTGTGTGTGTGTGTGTGTGTGTGTGTAGCACTCCGTTACAGTGGCTGGACATAGGCTGGATGACTTGCTTACATGAGGTTGGTTCGAATGAGAGCAGCGAAGCAAGCATATGTTCTGCATTATAAGCAGTTCCCGGAATGTATTTGGCACTATGTTGTCCTCGTTTTGTTTGGTGAGGCTGGTCTACTTCCGATTATGAAGTAAGGGTTGAATAAGTAATAACAACTGTAAGAAGGGGTGCGATTTAGATTTTATGAAGCTCCCTCCCCCCTTTTTACACAGACGGTCGGGTCCTGAGATGTTAAAGGTTTTGTGTACAAGGAGTTTTGTTGCGCTCCTCCTTTTGAAGAGGAGCATTTGTGTCCCCACTTATGAGGCCACCGCACATTTTTCCTTGAGACACTTCCCTCTCAGCGCACCTCTCAGCGCGCCCCCTACTTCCCAAGGACCATAACCTAATCACACGGGTGACACGGCCCTGTGACCGTAGTTGCAAGCACCTGGGCTGTCAGCTGGAATGTGCGCACAGGCTGCTTCTGAATACACGTTTTGTTTTGTCTTTTCTCTACAATTTGGAAAGTCGTACCTGGGCAATGCTCGATGTGCTTGTCAAGGGGGGAAAGTGTAGATGGTAGGCGGTTGTAGACTCCCATGCCTTCACAGCCGTGTTGTGTTCTCCATCTGTGCAGCATTATTACTTTTTTTTCTTTTTTTTCATTATTACATTTTAAATTCTAAGTTTTAACATTCCGATGGTGTGAAGTATGCAGAAATTTGAAAAAACAAAAAAAAGAAGTATGCAGAATTCTCAGCATGGGGAGATGCGCGTTTGCGGTCCCTCTGATTGGAGCACCCGTTGTCTTTTTCCCGATTTCAGATATTCTCGTTTCCAGGATAGAGTAGCTGCTATGTTGCCCTGTGACAGGTTTCTAGCCGCTGTTTTCCTTCTTGCTATTCAGGTTTCTAGCCGCTGTTCTCCTTCTTGCTATTCCTGTTTGGCACTCTATTGTGCTCTCCCACCTAGTGCTTTGTTTATGTTGTTTCGTCTCTACGTTCTAGGGTGTCTGTCCTTCTCTATCTTGCGCTCGCTTTTGGACAGGCTCGTGATTTGTTTTTTTTTTTTTGACACTTTGCATCGTTGCCCTCTTGTGTAGGGAATGATACTGCCCCTCGTCCTGTTACAGTTTTGATTAAACTACGGTGATGGTGGGGACACTTCGCATTGTTGCCCTCCTTGTGTAGGGAAGTTGTACATGGAATCCGACCTGTTTGTTGGCCGTTGCCCGCCCACTGTCATCGTCACTTCATTACTGTGACCTTGCCTTTCGTACACACAACACTAGAGGGTCGAGGATCTGTGTTTCTGTCGTGTTTCTGTTTCTCTTGTCCTGCGATATGGTAGGTGATTCTCGGATATAAACCACCAGTGTGCACCTGGGCCTGGAGGCGCTGTACTGCGCACCAAGCTCTCCTGAATTGTTAGAGATTTTTGCTTTTTCGGCTTGTGATCTGGTAAGAAGCTTGGAAAAGACCGCAGGTGACTGCGCAACCGCGTACTAGCAGCTGGCGGCGTAAGCAATTGCTTGCTGGATTGTCATGCCCGTCTGTGGAGTATAGGCTTCCTCTGCTAACGAAACAGTTTGTCACAGCCTCTCTGTTTCACGCGCGGGCGCGCGCGCGCACGCTAGAGAGAGAGAGAGAGAGAGAGAGAGAGGAAACAGTTTGTCACAGACGCTCTGTTTGTTGAGGATTCAGCTTCCTGATGAAGCGGTCTGTCACAGCCCCCCGTCTGTTGTCCTCTTCTCCCTCCCTGCCAAGGGTGGGTTTACCGGGCAGTTCTATTTGACGATAAATAGGACAGGGCGGTTGCTGGTGATGATGTGCTATTTTGCATCTTTATGGTAGCACAGCTCTGCGATCTGTTTTGGAGCCACCAGAACAGGGTGAGGTTTCCCCATACGAGGTTATGAGTGTGAGTGTGAGTGTGAGTGGGTGAAAGGTTGAAAACTAACCACCCTTGTTCATTGTCATTTTCCCTCACGAGTGCATGCGGTCACTTCTGTGTGACCACATGCGCCTGCGTGTGCGTGTGCATGGATAGATTGCATGGGAGGCGTAGGGAGGGAGGGGTTTCGCGACGGTGTATATTGTGCGGCCATATCGCTGTGCGCTCCTTTAGAACAAACTGAATGGAAAATAACAAGATATTTTACCATCCCTGGGGATTAATAACCACTTTGACCACTTTGCAGGTCTTGGTCATGCATCCCGAGTCCTGCCCAACCTTCTGAGGTGTGTGCATTGTGTGGGGAAAGAGGAGAACGCAAAATGATGTTGTGGAGCAAGCAGAGTGATGGCGGGGGTCTACTGAGTCGTACTGACGTATGAGTATTAGGCAGAGAAACAAAAGAAACAGAAAAACACACACACCCTGGCATTGCATGCATGGACAAGGCCAGCTTCTTATAGCAAGGCAGGGCAGCAGGGTTGATACGCAGGGGGGAGGGGGGGAGGAGGGGGGGGCCAAACGACAAGTCAGGGAGGGTACCGTAGTCAAACAGACCCTCGTTGTGACACGTTCGTGATGAAGGGAAGCATGGGCATCACGTTCCCGTGAAGATGGTGGTGCTACCATACAGAGCAAAGGCACATGGACGTGCAGGTGGGCGGGGGCTGCACGTCCATGTGCCTTTGCTCCTGTCTCTTATACACATCTAGATGTGTATAAGAGACAGCCCTCAGCCTCACGCTCGTTACACACCCCCAGTTTTTAACATTTTCTCCCTCTGCAATAACTCAATTCAGAATCTGCATTGACGCCAGCAAGGGGACGTAACTTTTGGTCAAAGGCCCGAAACAGGGGTCAAAAGTCATGTCCTAAGTCTGAGAAAAGCCTGGGCGAAGGCCTAACGCCAAGGGGTACCCAGGGCTGGGCCAAAAACAGCGTTCAAAGGCCCTACGAGCGGCAGTTGACTCTAGGAAAGTCAACGGTCAACCCCAGCACGGGATTGCAGGCCCAAAGGTCAAAGTCAACCCGTTGGTCATCCACGGCTGTAGATCAGATGCATATCATTGGTCGTCTGCAGGTATCCCAAAGAATCTGGTCCAAGTTTGACACGTGGGAAATCTGCAACGGCGCAGCATCCAGGCCATTGGCCTCTGATTGATCTGGGCTTTCTTTTCAGAACCGGACTGCTGCCGTTGTTGCAGCTGTTGGAGAGGATTCAAAAATGGCCTCCTACTGCCGGTGGGCAGCGAATACCTCGAACCTCTGCCCTTGACTGCCTGCTGGACTTTGGCAAGCGCAGGCCTTTCAGGGCCGGTCCGGTTGGCCCAACGGTCCAAAAAATTTACGGCGAGAATTTTTGGGGTTCCCCCACTCACGGGAAAATCGCCTGGGGACCCCAATTTTTTTTTCGGAATTTCTTCAAAATGGGGTGCAACCGGATCCTCTAAAATGGACACCGGACCTGGATATTCAGACCCGGACTGTCTGGATCGGGATCCGGACGTCCGGTTAACAACCATGAAAAAAATCCTTGTCAAGTTTCATCACGTGAGCAAAATATGGTTCACATTTAACAAGAAGTCAGATCCCGGGTCTTCACCTGAATACAACCCACCCTGATCATGAATGTATACAAGCTATCTTTCCGGTCCTATACAGTCACGATGAGGGTGTGTTGTGTTCGAGGGAAGACAGTGGTTCATCTTTGATATTCTGGTTGGTATCATGTGTGCGGCATACTAGTTCATCTTTGTCTTACTTTGCTGTGTTGTCATATTGGCCATTGCAAAGGCTTATAGAGAACTTGTTCTTACATGAAAATATCAACGTGTGTTTCATCCGCGGAGGAAGAGAAACTAAGGCGTGCGCGGACTGACAAATTGGAACTACTCTTGACTGACTGTGCCTCTAATAAGGGTCAGGTGCATTCACAAGTCTTACTGTGAATGGATCCTTGTGTTTGTTCTACCATTTGTGTGTGTGTACGCATGCTTGTGAGTCCTAGTGTATGTTCTGCCGTCTGTGTGTGTTGTAGATTTTCAGCACAACACCTGTGTGTGTGTGTGTGTGTGTGTGTGTGTGTGTGTGTGTGTGTGTGTGTGTGTGTGTGTGTGTTGTTAAAGCACCCCAAATTCTCATTCTCATTTCCTCCACAAATCATAACAAACCATCCATAACAAAAACGACAATATAATAGAAAATGCAAGGTTGGCCACATTTGTGTGGTTCAGCGCCAAGTGCCCACATCCATCTGCCGCCGAAGCGGCACACTTGCACATATACACATATACATATGTTTTNATGAAGGGAAGCATGGGCATCACGTTCCCGTGAAGATGGTGGTGCTACCATACAGAGCAAAGGCACATGGACGTGCAGGTGGGCGGGGGCTGCAGGTGGGTGGGGGGTGGGGGCGCACAAGGAAATAGGAAGATAACCAACGGGGGCCAGTCAGGTTGTCCCACTCCACCAAGAGACGGGAGCCCCGCCCCCCAAAAGGTTGCAATATGCCCGCTACGCGCGTAAAAAAGTGCCGAAAGAAAAGCTCACGGTTGCTGCATCCAAACGCACGAGACTCGGGTGCCGTGCCCAATGCTGCGAAAAGCACTCCAGCCCTCTCTTACTCAAAGTCGACCGAACCACTTTTTTGGACCAGTCGATCCTAATCACCAACCTAAGAGCCTCCTTGACCAAGGCGTGCAACTGCTGCAGTGGAACGACCTCCCCTCGCCAGTAGGTGGCATTTCTAGTCTTCCAAATCGTCCACAATATCGCTCCACGGATGTAGTAGTTTAACTTTATCAACGATGCCATTCAATGGTACAAACATACAAAGCCACACCAATCTTACGGGAAACAAGAGAAGAGAAAGGAGAGGGAAAAGCAGGGAATGGAGAAGGGAAGAGAAGAAGAAAGGAGAAAGGAAAGAAATCAAGCCAGTGGTAAACTGAAGTAAAAAACACGAACACGACTTCATTGAGCAAAAAACATCGTGAAATGGCTCCTGTCAAAACGAATGCTGGGCATCCGTGCGGCGTACGACCCTACCGGTTTCATCTGGTCGCCGTACCAGAATCATCAGGCGTCTTTTGTCGCCGCTTACCACTAAAGCTACTAGATATAGAGAAAGACCTCACAGAAACCTGCCTACTAACAATTGGTATCGGTAAAAACAAGGCAAAGCATGAAGAAAGTTATAGAAACCGGTTAGATTCGTACCAACACTAAAGACTGCACTTCTATGACAAAACACCGCCGCCGACATCCGCGCTCAGGACTAAAAACATTGTACTCAACCAATACAGAAAAACACCGACAACTTCTCCTTGAATTCAGCAGGTAAACGGTTCAAATCCCTTCCGTCCAGGCCAACGACTCCTCACGGCCAATTCGCTTTACAGAAAAAAATACCTGCTGACAGCTCTTATTCACTGTAACCGGTCCCTGGTTCGAAGCCTCCCAAACCTTCTATGGGTTAAACATTCTTCTTGAATCCAGGGCCCAGAAGCCATGGCCCTAAATCGGACCCAACACATCAGCACCGGAAGATCCCATCTTCTGATTTCCAAACCTTTAAATCCCACACCGCACAAACTTCAATCCCCTACGAATCAAACAATCTATCCCAAGAAGTAAGAAAGGGAACCCAATAGGCCCAGCATCCGCTACACTTTCGTGAAAAGTTGACCAAGCAAGAGTCAAAATAATTATCCGGGTAACCGCGGCGCCAAAGCTCAATCTTCAGAGACACCAAAAAGGACAATTCCGCACCCTGTACAGTAGTAAACGTCCGAGCTCGGTGAAGAAAAGAACAGATAACAGCCAGTTTCTGTTGCCTACTGGAGTTGGAACTAAAATCTTGCAGGCTCTGAAAAACAAGCTCACCATCAGCAACGCATCTCTGATTTTTGTGTAGTGCCACACATTCAATGTTTCTCTCACGGTTCATCAGCCGACAACCCAAAAAATCCCAGCTATCGCCCTGGTTGGTCTGTTCTAAACTAAGATTCTCGTCATAACAGCCACGAAATCGTTCCAACAATTTGGTACCATTAGCAAAAGATTTCTCATTATTCTTTTCACAGACAACGAACACAGACACATCATCAACTAGCCAAAATCCGCGAAATCGTTTCACATCACATCCCAAAGACGACAGGAAGAGGAACTCGTTATAAGCGCATAAGAGGCACGCCAAGGCAGGGCTCGTCGATTTTCCACGGATGGCCTCGAGAAGGTAGCATTCCGAAGGAAACAAATCAGAAACCACAGAACCCAAAAGAATAGCTTCGTCCGTCCACGCAGCATTCAACCGGCCAGAACAAGGGGATTGATCTCGCCACCAGCGCCAGAAGGGCTGTAGTGCAACACAGCCTACCCACATATGAGCCAAATCCTCCATAACATACCCAGCTGGTGGCATTTCTAGTCTTCCAAATCGTCCACAATATCGCTCCACGGATGGCCTCGAGAAGTTAGCATTCAGAAGGAGACAAATCAGAAACACAGAACCCAAAAGAATAGCTTCGTCCGTCCACGCAGCAGCCAACCGGCCAGAACAAGGGGATTGATCTCGCCACCAGCGCCAGACGGGCTGTAGTGCAACACAGCCTACCCACATATGACCCAAATCCTCCATAACATAGCCAGCTGCACAACGTCTGCAAAACGGATACCACGTCGCACGCGACGATAAACCCATGAGGCAGTGGGGACCGCCACGTGCATTGTGAGCCACAATATCCCAGTGTGCTTTGGAACCGGCAATGCAAGAAGGGTAATCCAAAAGCTCTTCAATCTAGGCTGAAAGAGGCCTATGTGCATTATCGCATACGCTTCAATCTAGGCTGAAAGAGGCCTATGTGCATTATCGCATACCCCTTTATAAATCGCATACCCCTTTATGCAGTGGCGAGCGTCCCCTTTTTTTTTTTTTTTTTTTTTTTTTTTTTTTTTTTTTTTTTGTTKGYTCGTGTCCCTTTTTTTTTTTTTTTTTTTTTTTTTTTTTTTTTTTTTGATTGCCTGGCCGAGGAGAGGTCGCAGAAGTCTCTTACGTTTTTCATCCAAATTCAATGAATGGTCTTTATTGCTGTATTTGGAGAAAAGATACCCCAAGCACAGCTACCATGACCCCCTATGCTCTATTCGCGCGTGAAAAAGATAGTGGGGCTTGCAATACTGTGCCCCGTCCGGGGCCATTCATCTTGCAGGACGAACCTGACCCGGGCGCTGTGTTAAACCACCAATACCTTTCGGAGCAGTGCTCCGAACCGTGTTTTTTTTCCGGATCCCGAACCTGGCTGAACTTCCAGATGATGCTCTCGAAAAAAACAAATAATTGATGAAGGCCTCTATTTTGCACCCTTCCTCTGGAAATTTCTTCTTTTTTTTTTCTTTTTTTTTTTTTGGGAAAAGTGAGGAGTCCAATTATCATGAAAATATCCATGAGGCCGGGAATTCCTCACAAACAACCCGGAAAAAGGAACTGTCACCTCTGGGATATTGACCCAGGAGCAGAAGTGGGTTTCCCCAACACCACTTGGCCATGCCAACAACAAAACAGGCCCAAAAGAGCATCAGGCAAAATCCAACAAAACGCAGGGTGCACTATCCTGCAAAAAAACGAACAAAAGAAATTACCCTAAACTGACAGGCCTACTCTGCCAGAGGGACCAACCAATGAACTTATACCAAACAACAAACAGGCCACAAAAAGCAACATGCAAAACTAAAGTCTACCAACCCCTACTTCCTACTCGGGGGTAACGCCCCCTTCAACCCCCTGCCTAACACGCCAGGGCGGACCCTAGGTCCTTCTACCTCTGGACACTCTCCAAACCCGCCACACCCCTAGCTTCATGCTGCGGAAGGTTAACCGAGTGCCCGGCCTGCTGTTGCAGAGTACTATATCTATGGGAGTAGGCCAGGCATCTGTATTTCAGCTATCCACTTTTCACGGAGGATAGCAGACCTTATTGGTGGTAGCAATCGCGTTGAGGTAAGATGCTTTCTTTTTGTTTATTTTTTTTTTCGCTATTCTCCTCTTTCTTTCGTTTCCCTTCCTTGCTGGTACCGTGTAGCAGGATGGGACTTCTCTCCCGGACAGCCCTGCACCCGCTACCGACCGGTCTGCAGGTCGTTGCTGCGGACGGAGCGAGTGTGGTCGCCCGGTGGGAGGGCGGAATGGTCGTCTGGCGGCGGGGCGGGGAAGAAGACGCCGGCGTGCACACGTAGCTCGCTGTAGGGCGAATGGCGGGATGGCGGGGGAGGGCTGGCATGTGGGCAGGGATCGTGGGAGCGGGCAGCGAGCGGGAGGCGGGCTGGCGGGCTGGCGGAGCGGGGAGGCGGGTGTGTGTGGATTGCGGGCTGGCAGAATTGCGGGCTGGCGGAGCGGGAGTGGCAGACCGGCAGCGAGGGCGCGCGCGCGCGCGCGCGCGCGAG